TGGAGCATTGTCCTGCATGAAAATCATGTTTTTCTTGAAGGATGCAGACTTCTTCATGTACCACTGCTTGAAGAAGGTGTCTTCCAGGAACTGGCAGTAGGACTGGGAGTTGAGCTTGACTCCATCCTCAACCCCGAAAAGGCCCCACAAGCTCATCTTTGATGATACCAGCCCAAACCAGTACTCCACCTCCACCTTGCTGGCGTCTGAGTAGGACTGGAGCTCTCTGCCCTTTACCAATCCAGCCACGGGCCCATCCATCTGGCCCATCAAGACTCACTCTCATTTCATCAGTCCATAAAACCTTAGAAAAATCAGTCTTGAGATATTTCTTGGCCCAGTCTTGGCGTTTCAGCTTGTGTGTCTTGTTCAGTGGTGGTCGTCTTTCAGCCTTTCTTGCCTTGGCCATGTCTCTGAGTATTGCACACCTTGTGCTTTTGGGCACTCCAGTGATGTTGCAGCTCTGAAATATGGCCAAACTGGTGGCAAGTGGCATCGTGGCAGCTGCACGCTTGACTTTTCTCAGTTCATAGGCAGTTATTTTGTGCCTTGGTTTTTCCACACGCTTCTTGCGACCCTGTTGACTATTTTGAATGAAACACTTGATTGTTCGATGATCACGCTTCAGAAGCTTTGCAATTTTAAGAGTGCTGCATCCCTCTGCAAGATATCTCACTATTTTTTACTTTTCTGAGCCTGTCAAGTCCTTCTTTTGACCCATTTTGCCAAAGGAAAGGAAGTTGCCTAATAATTATACACACCTGATATAGGGTGTTGATGTCATTAGACCACACCCCTTCTCATTACAGAGATGCACATCACCTAATATGCTTAATTGGTAGTAGGCTTTCGAGCCTATACAGCTTGGAGTAAGACAACATGCATAAAGAGGATGATGTGGTCAAAATACTCATTTGCCTAATAATTCTGCACTCCCTGTAGATGATTCTCTCAGCAGATGTGGATTTCCATGGGGTGATTCTATGTGAAGTCTCCACAACTACTGAATGGTGAACATTCTTAACTTTTTCCAGAGAACTATCACAATTCATGAGATATGGCTACCAATATCCCCATTTAGTCTCCTTTTTTTTTCTATGATTTTTATCTAACAGGAGCCTGCAAGTACAAATACTTGGCTGTGCAAGAATAATACTGACTGTGCAAGAATTATAAGGGTGAAGGATTTCCATTTTATTTCAATCTTTTTGAAAATGGATTGATTTTCTGTCACCCAAAGCTTGCCCTTCATTATGAAGACATGTCTCCTTCCTTATTATCCTTATGGTATATGGGATTATCCCAATGAGAAGATACCTTAAACAGTCTATGTCACTAAATTAAAATTAAAACCTAGCTGTTCCTCTCTTCCTCATTTCTAATCTATTCTTCATTTCTTCTTTTTCAATCTTTACACCCAAAAACATAAGGCAAAGTATGGACTATTTTATCTTATGTACTTTCCATCTTATCAAAACGTGACAAAGAGTAGAGCTACATCTGTTAAGTTTTTGTCACTTCCCCCTACCGTGGCTAGCAATGATTGGGGGAATAAAGCATTGTCTCACTCATCACAAGACAATATCTATGGTGAAGCGGCAAGGGGATCAGTACAAAATGTGCGAAGACCCCAGAAAGTGACTGAGTTACTTTAAGTCTTTCATTGGCATTAAATTGACACTGACATTCTGGTGCCTAGTGCTAAGCAAGCATAGGAGGATCCTGAGACAGTACATCAGTTTTCAAAGTGAGACACGGGGCACTAAAGTTGGATTGGGTCATGGATAGAGGCAATAAATCGGCTCACCTGTGGTCCTTCCATTGTTTTCAGCGGGTGCAAGAGAAGAAATTGCAGAATTATTATAAAACATCTAATATGAAACTAGGAAAAGAGTGTGGGGTGTGATGTGATAATGTGCAGGGTTGGCCTCAAGTTGGGCTACTTCTTTGTAGTTGGAAACCACAGAAGGACTATCAGTGAGATAAACAAACTATCTTGTTCTATATCCATGTGGGGTGCATAGATGGAATAATGGAAAGTAGGCTCCAAAAAATCATTTGAAAGAAAAAAATCAGTTGAAAGAAACATGCAATTTATGTAAAACCCACAGATCTAAAAAGGCCAAACATACAAAAACTGATGGAATAATGAGTCACATTTATGTTTAATTGTCCATTTCTGTAAAGGACAGATAAATATGCATGAGCATCTGGACACCAAGTGCATATACTCAGAGTCACCGAGCATCTGTTCATTTGAGCAAGTAAAATGTGATGTCCTCTTTCTTTGGCAATGCATTTAAAAAAACAAGTTTTAATTAAACAGCTTAAGGAATTTAATATCATATAAACTATCAATAGAACTCAGCTGAAAAGTCCTTTTGTTTTAAAATGACAATTTAAGTAAGAGTAACATCTGTATAAATTATGTCTTTCAACTAATCTATGACTACAACATAGATGTGAAAAGGAAATAAAGAGATAAATAGGGTTATTCACTAAAATGTTATTTGGAATGTTTCAAATCCACACAATTTTCCTTAACCTATGATAAGAATCCTTTTTTGTAGGGTGTACTAGCGCACAGTGATATAGCGTATCACAATAATCAAAGCAAATACAATTAGTCATGGATGTTTCATTTCTTGAAGACATGCATCTTAGACAGGAGCATCAGAGGGTGGCTTACTGGAGCTAGTGCCCCAAGTGGGCCTCAAAAAAGCCCCGGTCTAAAATAGGCCAACCTTCCTCACATTTATTTTTTGCGGTTGATCAAAAAGAAGGCAAAAGAAAAAAAACAGTTTGAAGCACTTCCAATCTTGCAACAAACTAGGAAAAAAAATTCCCTCTTGACCCCAGGATGGCAGTCAGATTGATCCTTGGATCAAGGAGCTATTACCCTACAGTTGAAAAATTATATAATTGAATATTACGTTTTTGCAAGTAGGCATCTAGTGCTAATAAGCTTCAAATGGCCAGTGTTTGTGTACTTCCTTTACCTTGTATGCAGTGATCTTGTCTATAGTGAGCTTGAGTGTGTGTCAGTGAGCTGGGGTCTGCATGTATATGTCAGTGAGCATGGATGTGTCATGAGTTTGCATTGTTATGTGTCTGCTTGTCTGTAGTTAGCTTTTATGTGTATGGGACATTAAGCTTGTATGAAGTGAGCTGGTGTGTGTGTGTGCATAACTGAGCTCGCCTGTAGTGAGCTTTTGTGTGTGTCTGTAAAGTTATATGATGAACTTATGTGTGTCAGTGTGCTTATTTGTGTGTGGCTGGACATAGTGATGACACAATATCAGCGGAGGCTTAGGCTGGCAAAAATTGCTGCACCGGCCGTGCATGAGGCGTGTTAAGCAGTGGAATTAGAAAAGTGGCATTATGGGAGGGGCAAGGGGTTGGGTTTTAGGAAGAGGTTACCAAATTATGTTTTGGGCTCAGAATAGAGCCTTGTACTTCCTACTTCTTGTTTACCTCTAACCTGTATGTCCTTGCTAGTTACCAACATGGTTTCTAGAACATTTTTCTAGTATTGTAATTTACATGAACCAACCAACTTTCCAAAAATAGGAGGGAGAGAAAAAAATCCTTGAATTAACAGTAATGTAGCATTCCCAGCTATACAAATACATCAACGAAAATGATCAAGCACACACAATCACTGTAAGCACTTTGCGGAGCACTTACTAACATGTTGTGACACGTACCATACTTGCTTGACATGGCATAAATAATAACGGCTAAATTATTATTTAAAGTGTGTTTCATCATATACGGTTGAATGATATAAACAGTTGGATCTGTGTTTCCTATTCCGATTGTCCTTCTTTGGCAATGTGAAATATTTGGCAATATGCCAGACACTGGGGCTACACAACAGGGTGAGGAGATTGACGCATACAGAGAAACTATTTTACATATTTATTATAAAAAAAAGTACATGAACAAAATATAATAGATACACAGTATTCACATTTAACCCCTAAAAGAGAGGTGGTTTTTCATAACTGTGATGAAAAAGGGATTTACCAAACTCCTTGTTCTGAAGTGTTAAACACATTTATATTGTTAATAACATGCTAGGAGATTGATGTCCACATTGGACAGCTTATCAAACAATACATATATCAAACAATAAAAACTTTTTTTGCAAAAACAAGTAACAGAAGTAAAAGTAAAAGTTACGCGTCTTTGATCAATTACATTTCTTTACCATGTCGCGGTATGTTTGATTTGCGTATAGTCTCCGTGACAAGATCTATCATTTTAAAATAAAAATACAAATAATACATCTCTGGGTGTGCATGAAAAAAAAAATTAAAAGATGTGGTGGTTTGTTTCGTCAAAATTTTGCCCGCTGGAAAAGATTTGGGTAAATGAATAAGATGAAACAACAGGGTGCAAAA